GAGACATCTGATCTGCTTAATGAAGCTGTGGTTGTGCTTTATGGTTCTCTCGCGCAGCATCTCAAGGCGGATGACCCGCGGCTGCAAATCGTCATCAAGAGACTGCTTGCTACCTTGCCCACTCCCTCCGAGTCGGTTCAGTCCGCTGTTTCTGAATGCCTGCCGCCTCTCATCAGGCTTTCTGGCCCGCAAAGTGGTTCGTACGTTCAGGAGATGTTGGATCAGCTCCTCCACTCGAAGAAGTATGCTACTCAACGCGGTGCTGCCTATGGGCTTGCCGGCATTGTCAGTGGCCGGGGTATCTCTACTTTGAGAGAATTCCGGATTTTGGCTCATCTCCAAGATGCCACGGAGAATAAGAAAGAGCCCCATCAGAGACAGGGCGCCCTGCTGGCATTTGAACTGTTTGCCACCATTCTCGGCCGCATCTTCGAGCCATACGTCATCAAAATTGTGCCACAGCTTCTGGCCAGTTTCGGAGATGTCAATGCTGACGTCCGTGATGCCTGTCTTGATGCAGCCAAGGCTTGCTTTTCGAGTCTCAGCTCGTACGGTGTGAAGCAAATTCTCCCTACTCTCCTTGATGGACTTGACGATACGCAGTGGCGCAGTCAGAAGGGAGCTTGCGACTTGCTGGGAGCCATGGCTTACCTTGACCCTCAGCAGCTGGCACAAAGTCTGCCAGCCATCATTCCCCCTCTAACGGTCGTCCTTAACGACACCCACAAGGAGGTGCGCAACGCCGCAAACCGCAGCTTGCAGCGGTTCGGTGAGGTTATCAGCAATCCCGAAGTGAAGAGCTTGGTCGGTGTGCTTCTGAAGGCTCTGAGCGACCCGACTAAGTATACGGACGAGGCTCTCGATTCGCTGATTAAGGTGTCGTTTGTTCACTATCTGGATGCACCCTCTCTCGCTCTTGTCGTTCGCATTCTTGAGCGTGGCCTCGGTGACCGCTCGAATACGAAGCGGAAATCTGCTCAGATCATTGGAAGCTTGGCTCATCTTACCGAGCGCAAGGATCTTATCTCGCACCTGCCGATCGTTGTTTCTGGCTTGCAGCTGGCTATCGTCGATCCGGTACCGACAACCCGTGCTACCGCATCCAGAGCCCTTGGTTCACTTATCGAGAAGCTTGGAGAGGATGCTCTGCCTGATCTGATCCCCAACCTGATGGCCACTCTCAAATCCGATACTGGCGCTGGTGACAGACTGGGATCCGCCCAGGCCCTCTCCGAGGTCCTGGCAGGCCTGGGTACCACTAGACTCGAGGAGACGCTGCCCACCATCTTGCAGAATGTGTCCAGCTCGAAGGCGGCTGTTCGCGAAGGCTTCATGACTCTCTTCATCTTCCTTCCCGCCTGTTTCGGAAACAGCTTCTCTGCCTACCTCAGCAAGATTATCCCTCCCATTCTCGCAGGTTTGGCTGATGACGTTGACTCGATTCGCGAGACGTCCCTCAAGGCTGGTCGTCTGCTGGTCAAGAACTTCTCCTCCAAGGCTATCGATCTTCTCCTTCCCGAGCTGGAGCGTGGTCTTGCCGACGACAGCTACCGTATCCGTCTCAGCTCGGTTGAGTTGGTTGGCGATCTGCTGTTCAGTCTTACTGGTATTACGGCTGCGGCCGATGCTGAAGAGGAGGCGGAGGAGGCCCACCAGGCCGGCCAGTCTCTGCTCGAAGTCCTTGGAGAAGAGAGGCGAAACAAGGTCTTGTCCGCTCTGTTCATCTGCCGCTGCGATACTTCGGGTCTTGTCAGGAGCGCAGCCATGGCCGTTTGGAAATCGCTTGTCGCTTCTCCCAGAACGCTCAAGGAGATGGTGCCCACTCTGTCTCAATTCATCATCCGGCGCCTTGGATCCTCGAACATGGAGCACAAGGTCATTGCCAGCAACGCTCTTGGAGATCTCATCAAGAAGGCTGGAGAGTCTGTCCTCTCGACTCTGCTGCCTACCCTCGAAGAGGGCCTTCAATCGTCTCCGGATGTGGATGTCAGACAAGGTATTTGCATTGCTCTGAGGGAGCTTATCACTTCGGCGACGCCCGAGGCGCTCGAGGATTTCGAGAAAGTGCTTATCTCGACCGTCCGGGTGGCCCTTGTGGATTCGAGCGAGGATGTGCGTGAGGCCGCGGCTGAAGCGTTTGACGCGCTGCAGCAAATCTTGGGCAAGAGGGCTGTTGACCAGGTCCTTCCTTATCTGCTTCATCTCCTGAGAAACGACCAGGATGCCGAGCAGGCGTTGTCGGCACTCTTGACGCTTCTCACCGAGCAGACGCGCGCCAACATCATCCTTCCCAACCTCATCCCGACTCTTCTCGTTTCTCCGATTTCCACCTTCAACGCCAAGGCCCTCGCCTCGTTGTCCCAGGTGGCAGGCTCCGCCATCTCGCGCAAGCTGCCTACGATCATCAATGCTTTGATGGACAATATCCTGTCTACTACCGACGACGAACATCGGGAGGAATTGACCAACGCGCTAGATACCGTCTTGGTCTCCATTGATGAATACGATGGACTCAACGCCATGATGAACGGCATGCTGACCTTGATGAAGCACGATGATCACCGACGTCGTGCCCGTGCCGCCTTGCACCTCAACAAGTTCTTCTCTGATGCCGGAATCGACTACTCCAGATACCATCAAGACTTGATCCGCGCCTTCTTGATTTCCTTCGACGATAGCGACAAGGAAGTCGTGAAGGCAGCCTGGACTGCTCTCAGCGGACTCACCTCCCATCTGCGCAAGGAAGAGATGGAGGTGTTGGTTGCCCCCACACGACAAGTGCTTCGGAGTGTGGGAGTACCAGGAGCGGACCTGGCAGGGTTCAGTCTGCCCAAGGGCATCAATGCCATTCTGCCGATCTTCCTGCAGGGTCTTCTCAACGGCAGCATCGAGCAGCGTACGCAGGCGGCTCTTGCCATCGGCGATGTTGTCGACCGTACCAACGCGAACTCGCTGAAGATGTTCGTGACTCAGATTACTGGTCCTCTCATCCGTGTGGTATCCGAGCGGTCGACGGATCTTAAGTGTATGTTGTTTCGCCTTTCTGCACGCTTATCTTACCCCTGCTCGTCGAACTAACTGACTCCAATAGGCGCCATCTTCTTCACGCTCAACAAGCTCCTGGAGAAGATCCCGATGGCTGTCAAGCCTTTCCTCCCGCAGCTGCAACGAACCTTTGCTCGTGGTCTTGCCGATACGTCTAGCGAGACCCTGCGTAACAGGGCTGCCAAGGGTCTTGGAATCCTGATCACGCTGACGCCCAGAGTTGATCCTCTGATTGCCGGTATTTGCTGGGTCTATCATTACATGGGACGATTGGGTTGATACTGATTTCGTGATTAGAGCTTATTGCCGGTACAAAGACCGCGGATATCGGCGTGAAGAACGCCATGATGAAGGCCCTTCAGGAAGTGGTTGGCAAGGCTGGCGCCAACATGAGCGAGGCGTCCAAGAACTCCATTCTCGCGCTCATTGGCGACGATGCTAGCGACAAGACTGGTAAGACTTCCCGGGTCCTTGCGGTCTGCTTGCCCATATACTGACGTTGAAAATAGATGGTGTTTCCATGACCAATGCCAAACTCCTGGGTGCACTGGTCAAGGTTCTTCCTCCTGCTACTGCCGGCCCACTTATCAAGTAAGCTCGTCTCGATGGGTGGTTATTGTATCATTGCTAATAGCATCCCCTAGGAGTCGGGTCCTGACGTCGAGCTTCACTCATGCGTCTATTCTGGGGCTCAACGGCTTGCTTGTCGAGTCCCCGACGTCCCTGACCGAACACTTTGCCGCAGAAACGCTGTCGGTCATCTGCCAGGCTGTGACCAACAAGGACGTAAGTAATCGACCTAGTCCAATCCATACGAAATAAGTGGTTCTAACTTGCGCAACAGCCCTTCATCTCCGACAACGCAGTCCTTGCTGCGGGCAAGTACCTACTGACGGACGATGAACACCGGACCTTCGAAACGAACAAGACAATCTTCGAGGCGCTGGCCCCCTGTATCCAGCCCGGCACGGCCTCTGACACCCGCCGATTGACTCTGGTGGTGATCCGCACGGTCAGCCGACTCCATCCGGAGTTGACCCGTCCCCATCTGCAGCTGCTTGCCCCGCCCATCTTCGCCAGCGTTCGCGACCCAGTCATCCCCGTCAAGCTGGCCGCGGAAGCAGCCTTCCTGACCATCTTCTCGGTGGTCGAGTCCGAGACGGCGGTTTTCGACAAGTACATGGCCGGCCCTGGATCCGAGCTTCCCCCTGGTCCCAAGCGCAGCATGTCAGACTACTTCAAGCGCGTTGCGATCCGTCTCGCGAGCCAAGCCCGCGAACGCAAGGAAGCCGAAGGCGGCCAAGGCGGGCTCGGACTATCGGTGGATGAAGTGGAGGATGAGAAGGAATTGTGGAGCATTGGGAAGGTCGACATGGGAGAGTCCTCGTTCGATGAATGAGGGTGAATATTGGATGATGTAGATACCTTTTTTTTGATCGCATGGGGTCGTCTCTGATGATTTTTTTTCTTGTTTACACTTATGATTATATTGAAAAGTTGATATGTTTTTTTGTTTTTTTTTTTTTTTTTTTTGACACCTGTTATACTGTACTCGTTTGATATCTACCTGATCGGGTTATCTATCTAGATCATCGCATCGCGTTTCTGACCCACTCTTGGCTCTTGTTTGAGCCTGAATCTGCTGGCCTGTATTATTGCCTGAGGCATGTATATAACGTCATGTGATCTCGGAAGCGGACAACTTGCCAACGACGGCAACATGTCCTTGCAGTGTTCTCGATGGGGTAGTAAATAATCATACATGATAGATGTTAGAAACTAGGGAAATTACCCCATGAAAACAAGATCTATACACTTCCCATGACGAGTGGTTGTCATACTCCAGTGTCAGTCTTGGCATGGGGCACAAACCCTAGGGTGGAGCGACTCGCTTAGCCGGTCACAGTGGCTTAGCTAATCGAGCGGGCGTCGACTCAAACTCCTCACCCCAAGCCTTTCCATCCCGTCGACGAGTGCAACGAACATCATCCGCCAACGACCGTCGATACGCCGACATCAAGATGTGAGTTTCATCGCCGACCCCTCATCGATGTCCTCCCCGGAGGAGTTATGTTCTTTTGATGGAATTTGATCCCTTTCCACCCGGAATTTACCACGCGGGGGGGGACAATTCTTGCCAGCACGATATATATTTTTTTCTCTCCTTCGCTCAAGATACTGACGACTGTGCGTGTGCAGGGTCAACCTTCGCACCCAGAAGCGCCTGGCCGCCTCCGTGGCGGGCTGCGGCAAGCGCAAGATCTGGCTCGACCCCAATGAGATGAACGAGATCTCCAACGCCAACTCCCGTCAGACCATCCGCAAGCTCGTCAGCGATGGCCTCATCATCCGCAAGCCCGTGACCATGCACTCGCGCGCCAGTGCCCGCGAGCTCAACGCCGCCCGCCGCATCGGCCGTCACCGTGGTCTGGGTAAGCGTAAGGGTACCAAGGACGCCCGTATGCCCAGGTATGCATCACGACTCCTTCCAGCCGCCGAATAATCACTCCGAGTTGAGGCGATGTGGTGGACATTACCGCGGTGGATAGTTTGCTGATGGCTATGTCTCGTTTAGCCAGGTCCTCTGGATGCGCCGCATGCGTGTTCTCCGTCGTCTGCTCGTCCGCTACCGCGCCGCTGGCAAGATCGACAAGCACCTGTACCACGAGCTCTACCACCTGAGCAAGGGTAACACCTTCAAGCACAAGCGCGCTCTCGTCGAGCACGTAAGTTCGCCCGATATCCTTGGTTTATGCGTGCATGTCGTCCGTCGTTGGTCATGGAAGAGGTGGTCTCTTAAACTGTGGTCTGGTCACAATGGTGACATGATGTCCATGCTCATGATTGAAGCGGGGGGCGACATGAAGTGAATAATCTGGAATCGTTGACTGACGTTATCCTCCTACAGATCCAAAAGGCCAAGGCTGAGCGCCACCGTGAGCGTGTCCTCAAGGAGGAGATGGACGCCAAGCGTGCCAAGAACAAGGCTCTCCGTGAGCGCCGACAGGAGCGTCTCGACGCCAAGCGTAACGCTCTGGTTGAGGAATAGATATCCCCTTTGATGACCTTTTCGGCGGTGCGGAGGTTGCAACTGGAGGAAATCGAACGATCGATCAGCCAACGGGAAATCTAAACCAGGTCGAACCAAACCTCTGTTTTTGTTTCATTTCCAAGTCTGACTCGGTGGCTTGATTTTCGTCCGGGACCAGCGATGGTTTGGTTTGGTTTTGTTCCTGTTCCTCTGGACACCCTAGATCCGACGGGCGCTCGGGAGGATGACGGAGGACCAGCTTCTTTCTCTTTTTATTTCCCCTGATACCGGAGGGGAAAGCTAGGAGGAAGGCGGCTATGAAGAAAGAAAACAAAAAATAAAAGGAAAAAAAGAGAGAACCATTTATTAAAGCAAAACCAATGGCATGGCGCTTTGTGTGATATGAAACTTGATATCTTTTTCGTCTTCAACCTTCTCTCCATCCTCTCTCTTTATTTTCCTATTCTATTCTTTGCACAACCAACCAACCAACCAACCAACCCACGTTTATCTGGTTTCCCTTTCCAGTTCAGCTCATCTCATTGTTCAAAAGGAATCAAGGGACAGGCAAGAAAGCAAAAAAATGTTCGTGTCAAGTCCTTAATGTCGTAACGTTACTGAATATCAATCACTTTACGGTTGGTTGGGAATATATTTGTAATTTGAATTATAGCAATGGTGGGTCAGTACTATTGATCATACTACTTAGGTATATGTATCATGTATGCAATAGACTGGAAATATGGATTTATACATGACTTTGTCGTTGTGGTACCATTCCTGTTTGTCCCAATCTGTGGGGTCTGTTCTGGTGACGATATATCTATGTTTCAATCAATACGGCCAAAGCAGCACAGTACTACTACCAGACTAACGTCGATATTGAATTGAATTGCATTGAATCCAATGTATCTATCTGTATACAGAAGTCTCCAAACAATCAGTTCAGTAAAAGCAAGAAGCCCACCTACCGTATACCACACTAGACAAGACCAACTACCAATTTCTTTCCTTATCTTTTCTTGCCCAGAACATCTTCGAACTACTTATTCGATTGTATTTACAGTCATAGTCTCGTTGGTTATTCTTCTGGTTTTATCAAAGTGATTGTTTGATTTAATGTTAGGGTACTATCTACTAAATCATAGAATGTGTCCACGATATATATATTACACACTAACGGTCGGGTCCGGCCAAGGTGATACCTCGATGTATATTTATGTACCACCCGCGTCTCCACGACATACATATGCAGATTCAACTCTAGTCATGGGAAGAAAGGTAGTGTGATTAACCAGGGAAATGAATATATGTTGAAAGTTGAATAACATTGGGCGAAATAAACAAAATCGCTAATGGTGGGTGTTGCTATGTCTTACTGTCCCTACCTCCCATCCACCTACCTATCTATTTGATCACATCACTGATGGTTGAGGCTTAGGGTATGATTTAGGTGCTACGATATTGATAGAATAGGCACCAACGATAGAATAATGAAAAGAGCGCTTGTTTGATGGCATACCCTGAAAACTAAACATTTATAATACATTGACGCGGAGCGTCATGCTACAGATAGATTGGAATGACATAACAGGGACATCCTATTCCCTCGCTCCCCTCGCTCCCACCCTACCGCCCCATGCCGATCCAATGCATGCTCTCATAGCTCATGGTCATGTCACATATCTCGCGGACAAGAGTAAACAATATGTCCAGTCCCCTTGCAGTGTAATCATACAGCCAGTCCCGGGAGCACCCCCGAGCTGCGCCGGTGCATCACGTTGGCGGGAACCTCTAAATCAAAAGGGTCGCTGCGGGTGCTGACGCGGGTGATGGGGGCGGCGGTGGTAGTGGTGGTGGTGGGGGCGTCGGTCATGCCGATGTGGTAGCTGAAGCGGCGGAGGCTGCTCCCAGCGCTGTGGGGCCCCGGGAGGATGATGGTGCTGCCGAGGCTGTTTGGGATCGAGGTCTCGCTGGCGCTGTGGGGGATGCCTGGTCGTTGAAAGCTCTCGATCTGCGCTGGGTCCAGGTACGACGAGGCGGTGCGATGGGACGACCGATCCTTGCGCGCGGCGGGCATGATCGGGGACTGCAGCTGGTCGATGAATGGGTCGTGGAGGAGGTCGGTTAGACTGTTGAGACTCCCCCGCGTCGATTGCATCTCACCGGCGTCGGAGAAAGGATCGGAATGACGGGAGGGGATGTGGGGTCGGGAGTTGACGTATCCTGGGCTCATCAGGGTGCCGAGGAAGTGGTGGTAGAGAGAGGGGGTGGAGGAGTTGGGCATGAAGTGGGTGTATCCATGGCGTAAGCTGGTCGACGAGTCTGCCGACTCCCGGGGATGGAGGAGGCGCTTTTCGCCGCTGCCATCCAACCACAGGCCTCTTGTTTTCCGGCGTCGATAGCGATAGAGAAGAAGGCAGATCAGAAATACGAGAAGGACGAAACCGACTCCGCCGAGGACACTCCCCAGGAGGGTCCGGAGAGAGTCTTGAACCGCGTCGTCGTCGTTGTTGGATGGGGTGGGCAGGCCCTGTGCCGAATCGCCATCGGAGGTGGCGGCCGGCGGACTGCCCGGGGCGCTCGGGGTAGCTGAATCAGTTGCCAGAGGCGGTCCAACAGTGGAGGTCACCGGGGGCGCGGTGATGGCTAGGAAGGTGGATGCTTGCGTTGTCTGGGTCCCCTGGTCGTGCGATGAGGTCAGTCCATCGGTGGCCGTATGACGCCCTTCCACAGGCTGGGAGAGATGGGTGGTGACCGGATCAACGCCCGATGGCGGGGGCGATGGCGTCTCTGCGGCCTCTGTGGTTTCTGGGTCCGATGGGACCGTTGCGTGCGATGTGGTTGAAGTCGAAGAGACGGTTGATGATGATGATGATGATGAGTCCACGGAAGTCGTCGGATCCGGGAGGGCGATTGACGTGGTGGATAAGTTGGTGGACGAGGTGACTGCGGCGGACCTTCTGGGGACTTTTGTGCAGCGCAAGCCCTGGTGAAAGATAATGGACGGACTGGACATCGACATGTCGCCCAGCCCGCAGGCTCCTAAGAGGCGGAGGCGGAGGTCGGTTTGATCGATCCGGTGGCACGATCGATTTCAGGACAACAATGTTCCATCGAAAGTCCGTCCAGTGAGGGAGGGAGAAACAGCAGACGGGCACGAGTTGGATATTAAACACGGCTGAAGGACAAACTGTCACCGTCTCGATTGCAGTCCACCAGCGAGGTGGATTGTCAAAGAACCCGTAGGAATCTGGGTGCGCTGAACCCACGGGACCAACGGGGGACAGGCTAAGGGAGAAAAATTTTCTTTTCTTATTGGATAAGGTGTCTACAGGGAGGAGGACTGGCCATGACAATGTGTGTCAGAGACGTCCCTCCGTGGCGAAATAGCCTGTTTCAGGGTGGGATGGTGAGGCACGAGGCCGGTAGTCAGATCCTTTCGGATGTCGACAGGGAGACGGATATGAAAGGCAACCGGCAATTGATTCTTTAACAAAGAGAGACAGAAGTCATCGCCACAGGAGAAGAGAAAGAGAAGAAAAGAAAGAAGGAAGGAAGAAGAGGACAGAGAACGGCGAAGAAGGGGATAGAGGAGGGGGGTGGGAGTCAACCGGAAGAAGTCCTTCAATCACGATGGGATGTTTTGGCTGGGAGGCGCCCATTGTCCGCCGTAGCGAACGAGGCACACACCAGAGTGGTTACATTTAGCCATGGTTCCTGGGACAGGACCTCATGTGGGTTGAGGAACGAAGCAGGGGATAGGGACCGAGGGGGCCTATAGGAAGAAACTGCTGAAACAGAAGGGGATCCTGTGCATTGGATATCCCGCACGGGGGTCAGAGCACCAACCACTAGAAGCGTAAGGGGGGGGAAAGTGGAGGGAGAAGAGTTCGTTTGATGATGGTTGGGGGAAAAACTTATATGACAATGCGGGGGAACCAGATGGACTAGGGAGGGTGATAAATGTTTAGTTGAACTAATTGTCGATCTATGGTTAAGCGAAGAGAATGAGGAGATGAAGAGAACTACGGAGGAGAGAGAGATAGAGAGAGAGAGAGAGAGACGAAAGAGGAAAAGGGAAGTAAAAGTAGAGAGAGAAGTGGGGAAGTCCGGGAGCTAGTCCTGATTGGGAAGGGCGAGTGATACTTTCACGTGATTGAATGTCAGGTGATACAAGTGTATATAGAGTCATGTGACTATCAGGTGACTGTATATCAGGTGATCTGTCAAGTGATTCTGACATCAATATCACGTGATATCACATGATCAACACCGTCACATCCACCCTCTGATTGGCCACCTGCAGAAAACCGACAGACTCCTGAATCCACGGTGGATCCGGTCTTCATACCAGGTCGGATGGATTGACCAGATCGTCATTGGTGCACGGGGTCCAAGGGAGGGGACTTTTGGACTTTTGCGCGCCCATCGAGTGGAGACCCTTACGTATGTTGTACTTGACATGGGAACAGGACTGGAGACAGGATCGGTCTTCAACCATATATCTACTGGAGGTCATGGTATACCAATCATGGTGAGCACGAGTCCTAGGGGAAATCCCTAACCAAACAATCTGTCAGTATCTAGATATGATGGGGATGGCCAGAGCGAGCAGCAAAGGACGAACAACCGTCGGACTAGTCGAGGGAGCTACGGTGCTAGTATCAAATGACCGCTGTCTAAGAACCCCTCAACTCTCTCTCTCTCTCTCTTTCTTTCTTTCTCTCTTTCTTTCTCTCTTTCTTTCTCTCTCTCCTCTCTCACTCTCACTCTCCTCTCCTACCTATCTTGCTTCCCCCTGATCCAATCTCTGGTTCGCCCCAGCTTGTTGGAACCAGATCCTGTTGGTTCAGGGTGTCCATTCGGGAATGCCCCAGCTTCCCCACCGCCACCAACCGTTCCTTTGGCTCTCCTGCGCCCGCTCTACCAGATTTACCATCCCCAGGATCGATCTAGAATTGATTTACCCTTAAAAGCATCTCCCCATTATTATATATCTCTTCGTGTCTTAATTTCGTTCTGTTCTTTGCCCTTCTGTTGCTGTCCCCAGTAGCCCCATCCCACGATCTCTGTTCTGTATCGTTAGCACCCTGACATCATGTTTGGCTGGAGTAGCGCAATGGGTAAGATCTCCCTCTGGCCCCTACCTCTCAATTATCATTTGAACAACGATCAAATGAGCAATGTTCAAATGAGATCGTCCCCCGTTGCGACTGTCCCATCCGGATGGTTGGGCACGTGCTGGTCATACGAACCCCACGCGCCGCTTCCCCTGACTCGGTCTTGACATCCAAAAAAAAACCTGGAAAATCAATTCCCTGCCATAGGCTCGCTTGAACGAAACCAACCTGACCGTTAGCTAACTTCAGCAGGCGTCCCCCCGGTGGTTGCAGAGCCTGACGCCGAGCGCCGACCCCCAACCGATCCCACCCCGCTGGACTTCCCCGCCCACCGACCTTCCTTCAATCCAGACCCCGATGCCGAGCTCCACGTCAAGGATATCTACCAAGCCCTGGCCTCCATCCGACGGCCCCAAGACATCACCCCCGAGCGCTTCAAGCCCTTCAATGTCTCGGTGGAGCCAGACGTCGCGACCGCCGACATCACCGGCCGCGTCGTATCGAGCCCTCCCTTGCCCTGGACCCCAGAGGCCGCCGACCCCGCCAATCGCTGCTACCCCGATGGATCCCCAATCCTTTTGGACAACGGAAACCCCTACCCGCCCAAGGATCGAT